TTTTATTTTATTTTTTGAGTTGGAGTCTTACTCTGTTGCCCAGGCTGGAGTGCAGTGGCATACTCACGACCACCACAGCCTCGACCTGCTGGGCTCAGGTGATCCTTCTGCCTCAGTCTTCCAAGTAGCTGGAACTACAACCAAGTGCCACCATGCCCAGCTAATTTTTTTATTTATTGTAGAGATGAGGTCTTGCCAAGTTGCTGAGGCTAGTCTTGAACCCATGGACTCGGGCAATCCTCTCACCTCAGCCTCCCAAAGTACTGGGATTGTAGGTATGAACCACTGCACCTGGCCAAGATGGTCTCCTTTAAACGTGTCTTTGAAGCAAAAGGAAACAAGCTGTAGGTTAGGGATATGCATGTAACAAAACTATCTAAAGCAGTGACTTTGTGCTAAATGGAAAATTCAGACAGTGGTTGTCTGGGCAAGGAGGAGGTAATGGCAGGGGAGGGAACACGGCTGAATGCAATGAGACTGGTGATTTCCTTCTTTAGTTGGGGGCTGGCTTAAAAAAAAAACTTTATTGAGAGAGAATTCACAGACTATGTAATTCGCCTTTTTAAAGCCCCCTTGATCACAGCAACTTGTATGGATTTGGAGTTGATCATACTCAGTGATCTATCACAGAAACAAAGAACTGAATACCATGTGTTTTCACTCATAAGTGGACCCTGAGCACCTATCATAATACTATAAAAAAGGGTTTGGCAGTAGCGGGATACTGCGGGGGGTGGGGGGTGCATAACATCAGTAAGGGTGCCCGATTCTAATCCAGGCAAAGTGAGGTCCGAGGGAGGCCCAAAACTGCACCTTATCTAAACCATGTATGGACACAATCCTGACTTGGACCCCACAGCTTTAAAATTCAACTAAGAAAAGCAAAGCCCCCTTGAATCCATAACTCACGAGATTTCAGCATACTCATGGATTTGTGTAAGCATCGCCACCACCCACTTTGCATTCATCTTGCCTGTGCTAGTAGCCGTCATGCCCCATCGCCCCCCAGTGCCTCCTCCTCAGCCAGAGCCAACTACTAGTTTGAGTTCTGGCTATATGGATTTGCCTAGCCTGGATACTTGATAAAAATGGAATCAAGCCGGGCTCGGTGGCTCAGCCTGTCATCCCGCGCCTTTGGGAGGCTGAGGTGAGTGGATGGCCTGAGCCTGCGGGTTCAAGACCCACCTGGGCAACTTGGCGAGACCTCATCTCTACAGTAAATCAAAAAATCGGCCGGGCGTGGTAGCGCATGCCTGTAATTCCGGCTACTCGGAAGGCTGAGGCGGAAGGATCGCCGGAGCCCAGCAGGTCGAGGCTGCGGTGGCCGGGAGCGGCCGCTGCACTCCAGTCTGGGCGACCGAGTGAGACTCCAACTCAAAAAAAAAAAGGAATCATGTGGTACACATTTGTGTGTGTGTGTGTGTGTGCGTGTGACTGATGCCTTTCAGTCAGCATAGTGTTTTCAAGGTTCACCCATGCCACAATGTGTATTAGTGATTCATTCCTTTCTATGGTTGGATAATATCCCACTGTATGGCTAGACCACCTCTGAGTTACTCATTTATTAGTTGATAGATCTTTGAGTTTTTTCCCTACTTCACAGCATTGTGATAATGCTGCTATGAATATTCAAGTACAAGTTTTAATGTGAACATATGTTTTCGTTTCTCTCAGGCATATACCTTGGAGTCGAATTACTGGGTCATATGGGAACTCTGTGTTTAATATCTTTTGAGGAATGCCCAAACTGTATTTCAAGCATCTGTACCATATTACATTCTTACCAGCAGTGTATCAGGGTTTCTGTTTCTCCCCATCTTCACTGACACTTGTTATTATCTGGCTTATGTTAGCAATCCTGGTGGATATGAAGTGGTGTCTCATTGTGGTTTTGATTTGCATTTCCCTGGTGTTTAATGATCTAAGCATCTTTTCATGTGCTTATTGACCATTCACATATCTTTTTTGAGGATTCTCTATTCACTTTTTAATCTATTTGTTTGTCTTTTTATTACTGAATTGGAAGAGTTATTTGTATTTTCTGGATACAAGTCCTTTACCAGATATATAAGTATTTTCTCCCTTATATATCTGACGGTATCTTTTCTATTTTTTGATGGTGTCCTTTGAAGCACAAAAGTTTTTCATTTTGGTGAAGTTCAATTTTCTTTCAGTTTTTCTTTTGTCATTTTGTGCATCTGGTGATATATCTAAGAAGACTTTGCCTAACCCAATGTCACAAAGACTTTCTCCTCTGATGACTTCTAAGAGTTTTATAGTTTTAGTTTTTACATGTAGATCTGAGCCATTTGGAGTTGACCTTGTATATGGTGTAAGGAAGGGTCCAGCTTTGTTCTTTTGCTGTGTGGATGTCCATTTGTTGACATGAATATTTTCCCATATTGAATTGTCTTGGCACCCTTGTCAAAAATCAATTGCTAATGAAGGTGAGAGTTTATTTCTGGACTCTTAATTATATTTCATTGAACTATATGTTTATCCATATGCCACACTATATTGATTATTGTAGCTTTTGTAAAAAGTTTTGAAATTAAGAAGTGTGAGTTCTTCAGCTGTGTCTTCTTTTTCAGGACTGTTTTGACTATTCTTGTTATCTTGCAATTTGAATTTTAGGATCAGCTTGAAAGTTTCAGGGGAACAAAAAGCCAAGTGGGATTTTGATAGGGCTTATATTGAACCTGTAGATTAATTTGGGGAGCATTGTCATCTTAACAGTGTTAAGTTTTCCAGCTAGGTGTGATGATATGCGCTCTCCCCTACTCTGGAGGCTGAGGCCGGAGGATTGCTTGAGCCCAGGAGCTATAATCATGCCTGTAAATAACCACTGCGCTACAGCTTGGGCATTGTAGTGAGGTTTCTCTCTTAAAAAAAAAAAAAAGTCTTCCAATTCCTAAATAGGTAATGTCTTTCAATTTATTTAGGTTTCCTTTAATTTTTGACAATATTTTATAGTTTTCAGAGCATAAATCTTATATTTCTTTCTTCTTTTTTTTTCTGAGTTGGAGTCTCACTCTGTCACCCAGGCTGGAATATAGTGGCATGCTCACAGCCACTGCAGCCTCGACATGCTAGGCTCGGGTGATCCTTCCACCTCAGCCTTCCAAGTAGCTGGAACCACAGGCATGCACCACCATGGCTAACTTTTTTAATTTATTGTAGAGACGAGATCTCGCCATGTTGCCCAGGCTGAACCCACGGGCTCAGGCAGTTCACTCCCCTCTGCCTCCCAAAGTGCTAAGACTACAGGCATGGACCACCACACCCAGCTTACCTTTCTTTTGTTAAATTTGTTCCTAAGTTTTTTTTGGGTTTTTTTTTGTGTGGTTATTGTTTGAGTCAGAGTCTCACTCTGTCACTCAGGCCAGAGTGCAGTGGCATGCTTACGGCCACAGCAGCCTCCATGTGCTGGGCTCAGGTAATCCTTCCACGTCAGCTTTCCAAATTATAGGCATGCACCACCACACCCAGTTAGTTTCTTTATTTTTTATAGAGATGAGATCTCACTGTGTTTCCCAAACTGTTCTCAAACTCCTGGCTCAAGCAATCTTCTCACCTCAGCTTCCAACAGTGCTAGGATTACAGGCATGAGCAACCACACCTTGCCTCATTTTTATTTCTGTAGGTACTGATGTCACCTCTTTTACTCCCAATTTTAGTAATTTGTCTTTTCTCCTTTTTTCTTGGTTAGTCTAGCTAAAGATTTGTCAATTGGTTTATCCTTTCTCTTACTAATGGCTTCTTGGGTGATTTTAAAATTGTACTATCTGAGTTACATGTACATTACATATAATCTGTTGCATATATAAAATATTGCAGAGTAAAATTGGAAAAGAAAGAAAACAGAAATCATGGTACAGTTAATTGTCTTAGGAAACTTGCTAGGACCATAAATCCCATACTTGAGGTTCACACTGATTATCTTCTTCTTCAAATAAACTAATTTCTAAATTCTTTATGATTCCTTTTTTCTTTTTCTTTTCTTTCTTCTTTCTTTCTTTCTTTTTTTTGAGTCAGACTGTCACTCTGTGGCAAAGGCTGGAGAGCAGTGGCATGCTCATGGCCACCGCAGCCTCAACCTGCTGGGCTCAGGAAATCCTCTGCCTCAGTCTTCCAAGTAGCTGGAACTACAGGCATGCATTACCATGCCTGGCTTATTTTTTGATTTATTGTAGAGATGAGGTCTCACCAAGTTGTCCAGGCTGGTCTCGAAACCCAGGGCACAGGCAATCCTCTCTCCTTGGCTCCCCAAAATGCTGGGATTACACATGTAATCCACCACACTCAACCATGATTCCACCTTTAAAATGAAACTAATATCTGCTTCACAGTCAAGGCAGTAATTGATACACTGTGAGATCCTTAGGTGAAAGGTGATCAAATGAAGTAGTGTTCATGCCAGTGCTTGTGAAGTATTCATGCCAGTATTGACAAACTTGATCCTGTATTAGGGTTATCATAACAAAGTACCACAAACTAGGTAGCTTACAAACATAGAAATTTATTCTCTTACAGAAGTCTGAAATCAAGTTTTTGACAGGGCCATGCTCCCTATGAAAGCTGTAGGGGAGAATGCTTCTTTGCCCCTTCTGGCTTCTGGTAGTTGCCAGCAACCCTTGGCATTTCTTGGCTTAAGGCTGTATCACTCTAATTTCTGCCTCACATGGCCATCTTCTCCCTGTGTGTCTGTTCTCTTCTTATAAGGACACCAGTCATAATGGATAAAAGGCCCACACTATTCCAGTGTGACCTCATCTTAACTAATTATGTCTGCAATGACCCTATTTCAAACAAGATTATATTCTGAGGTCCTAGGGGTTAGGACTTCAACATATCTTTCTTGGTGGCCATAATTCAATCCATAGCAGACATGTCCTAAGCTAACTGTGAACATTTGTCTGTTACTCTTCAATTTTTAGAAATATATCCAACTGTCTTTTCTATTTACCATGGTCTTTTGTTCTTTTAAATCTTTTCCCTAGATTGATGATATGCTTAACGAAATCAAATTTAGTGAGTATGTGGACACTGGAAAGCTAATTGACAAGATCAACTTGCCAGATTTCCTCAAGGTTTACCTTAATCACAGGCCCCCTTTTGGTAACACCATGAGAAGCATCCACCAGAGCTTTGACGTTCTTGGTTACACCAATTCAAAAGGAGAAAAGGCTATTCGAAGAGAGGATTTCCTGAAACTGCTCCTAACTAAAGGTGAACACAAAAATAGGGTTATCTGGTAGAACCCTTTGGTTATTTCCAAGGAAGAGAACCAAGTTTAGGGAGACAGATCCCTGGAACATCCATCTTTCATGAAAGAAGTGGTTTGACAGCGTGTCAGCCATGAGGGATGTCACTTCCCGTCCCACATAACTGGCAAGAATGAGCCAAGGAAAGGATCTGGGCCTGGAAACCAGAAGAAGGCGACTTATATTCATCTTCTTGAAACTCTCCAAGACTTAGTGTCCTCACTTACAAAACAGGAATAAAAATGCCACCCTGTTCGTTTCCCAGGGCTGTCATAGGATTGGGAGGCATTTGTGAAATGTAACCACAGCAGAGTAAACTTTTTTACTTTTTTCTTTTGAGTTGGAGTCTTACTCTGTCGCCCAGACTGGAGTGCAGTGGCCGCTCCCGACCACCGCAGCCTCGACATGCTGGGCTCCGGCAATCCTTCTGCCTCAGCGTTCCAAGTAGCCGGAATTACAGGCATGCGCTACCACGCCTGGCTGATTTTTTAATTTATTGTAGAGATGAGGTCTCGCCTGCCCAGGCGGGTCTTGAACCCACAGGCTCAGGCAATCCACTCACCTCAGCCTCCCAAGGCACGGGACTACAGGCTGAGCCACTGAGCCTGGCTAACTTTTTTGCTTTTACCGATGATTTTCTTCATTATCGTATGTAGGAAGTCAAGTAAGCGTTCTCTGTGGATGTCATTTTCATCTTAGACTGGGTGGTTCTGATATGAGGGAATTTGAAATCAGGCTGAGCCCAGTCTCATCAGCAAGTTGACTCATTTCTCTATACAAGGCCCAACATAGATTCCCTTGCTGGAGGACCCTTTTGCAGACAAGGTTGGGCTGGTTCAGGGTGGTGTGGCCATAGATGGGAGGACCCTTTGTTTTGTCTTGTTTGAGTTGGAGTCTCACTCTGTCACCCAGGCTGGAGTGCAGTGGCACGTTCACGGCCACCACAGCCTCCACCTGCTGGATTCAGGCAGTCCTTCTGCCTCAACCTTCCAAGTAACTGGACCTATAGGCACGGGCTACAATACCATGCCTGGCTTATTTTTTTGATTTATTGTAGAGATGAGAGCTCACCAAGTTGCCCAGGCTGGTCTTGCACCTCTCAGCTTAGGCAGTCCTCTCGCCTCGGCTTCCCAAAGTGCTGAGATTACAGGTTTGAGTCACTGTGCCCGGGCTAAGGAACCTTTCCAATACCCCATAAGAAAGTATATGTGACAGTATTATGGGACTCTCTTGGTTGTTTTTGTGTCTAAAGGAAAGGAAAGAGTGAAATAATTCTCTTTAAGACCTCTGAACAATAACTCTAAGCCCCGACACTGCGTGTGGCCCCAAGAGCTAAAGAGCCACCCTTCTACCTTTTGGCACCCAGGTGAGCACATGACGGAAGAGGAGATGCTGGACTGCTTTGCTACACTGTGTGGTTTGAATTCTGAGGACTGGAAATCCGAGCCTGCAAGCTCCTCTGTCAAAGGTACTGTGGCTGGCTTGGTCTGGGCATGTAGCTGCGGCTCAGTGATTTGCTGTAGACTTAAGTGCATGTATTTCTCCTGACTGGGGCAAGCCAATCTCCTTAAGACTGTTCATACAAAAAAGCATGTCTGTTGGGAATTCCGCATGAATGAGTTATGAAAAGACCAGCAAGCGGTGGTTATGTCAAAGAGATGGGGCTTTTGTTTCCATGCTCTGCTCCCTTGGTGTCTTCTGGTCTTGTTTTTCCCTTTATCCCAATGACCTGTCATCTTTCTGGCTTGGGTGGGTGAATACTGGTCACCAGGAGAGGGTGCAATTTGGCAGCTGTTTCAAAAGCAGAGATGAGTCAAAGGAGCCTTGGAGGAGAGGATAGCAGCTTGGCGCGGGCAGCACAAGCCTGGCTTCAAGCTGTCAGATTTGAAAATGTTTAGTGATAGCCAGGCACAGTGGCTCACACCTGTAATCCCAGCACTTTGGGAAGCAGAGGTGAGGGGGTTGCCTGAGCGTAGAGGTTTGAGACCTGCCCGGGCAACTTGGCAAGACCGCATATCTAAAAAAAAAAAAAAAAAGGAAAAAATAGGAAAATGTTTAGCAATCGTCCTCCTCTTCCCTCCTCTGTAGACTGTAGATTGTTCACCTTCTTTTACCCTAACTGGACCTGAAGTTAGGGCTATGAATTCCAGTGCAGGAGGACCCAATCCAAACAGCGAAGGGTCTGCGTGTGTGGGAGCATCTCCCAGACAGGCCTCATGCATCCTGAGTGTCATCAGAGCCACCACCATGTCTGGGACTGGAGTCCAGTGCAAGGTCCCCTTGCCGGTCTCCCTTCTCCCTCTCCTTTCATCATCCATTCCCTGTGTCAAATTTTTAAAAGTTCCTGAACTCAGATCATTCTAGACTCTAGTATCTGATGGGTCATTTCCACCTGCAAGTCTCCCTACCCCACTCCTGTGTCCACTTCAGACCTCAGAATGTCACTTTCCCAATTGTTTCATACTTACACGTTGTGTTCCCAGCCATCTTGAAATAGTAAAATCAGAGATACCATGTGGGTAGGCTTTCCAGTGAGGTTTGTAGAGAGTCCATTAACAAGGCTCCGTGCCGTCAAGGAGGAATTTTAACCAGTCTCCACCCAGGAGTTTCCAAGGGATCAAAGCCAAACCCCAGCACAAAACACCCCTTGCTTCTGTTTAGTAGCATTTCCTTGTGTTTTGGAAAAGGCTTCTGAGCTAGAAACCTAATCATCATGAAGGCATTTGGTTTTATTTTCTTGTTTGGCTAGGTTCAAAAATCTGCCTCGAAGAAGAACTTCCTGAAGAAATCACTGCAGAAATATTCACAACCGAAATTCTTGGCTTAACCATTTCAGAAGATTCCAAACAGGATGGTCAGTGAAGTCATAAGAAATGTTTTTTCTGTATTTCCCTACCCTACTCTTATCTTTAGAACATTTAGACATTAAAAGCAAATTTCTGTTAAGTCATGGAATTCACAGAGTTGGACATTCCACCGCTTCTGAAATAGGGAAAGGAGTGGCGGCGAGAAAAACACCAGCAGCTGGACCCCAAGGGTGGCTAGACACTCAGGTCTGCCTGGAGGGGGGTTTGCACAGGACCCAAAGGGGCGAGGTCTCTGGGGGTCAAGGAGCCTCCAGCCCGCAGCGTGCCTTCGTGACATGTGTGATCCCAGGAAATGACGGTCAGTGTGGCCCTTTTCCCAGAGGATGGCCCAGGCCCTCAGCCTAGTAAGGCCAAGTGTGGGTCACCCCTGCCTGCTATTAGGCCAGGGTGGGGGTGCTGGGTACGCTGGGCTTCTGAGAGTCCCTGATTGTGGCTTCTTGTCAGCAAAACACAAGCGTTGAGTGTGGCCGTTATGAAGAGCATCGCTGGCCAAGCCGAACCCCGGTGGCAACTGCCTGTGAGAATGCAAAAGCGCCCACAGGCCGGCATGTGCTGCATGTGGGCCAGAAACCACATGCAGCCCCGTCCCCAGAGGCCAGAGCCTCCTGGCACAGCACCGTCCCCAACACAGTTGACTCGCCGCCTCACACTTTGCTGGGCTGCAAAGCACGTAGCAAAGACGGGGCCCGTCCCCCAGCTCGGGGAACCTTCAGGGGATGTTACTAAGTTTACAGTGGTGTTTTGACCTTGAAAACAGCCTAGCATCGTGATATGAACAGATGAAAGTGATAGTCTGGTCTGAGAGTTTGTGTCACCAGTTCTGAGGTCTCACTCAGGACATGTGCTTAGTCCAACACACTCCCACCAAGCCAGCTTCTTCCCCAGAGAAACTAGCACCCGCGATCACATTTCTGTTGCGCCTTTCTCCTAAGGAGCGGTCTATGGAAGGGAAGCGGAGTAGTGAGCACATCCTTACCTGCACGAAACTCCCCACCCCTCCACCTTCCCCACCCCACCCCCCTGCATCACAGGGTGGCCCCTTGAAAATGTGAGAGTCTTTGGAACACCCTGGAACGTGGAACAGAAACGTCTGCCCCAACCAGGCTGTGTCACTGTGACCTTGGGCAGACGGCATGGGCCAAGGTTCTGCCGGCGCCAGCTTGTCAGCGCATGTCACCGAGGCTTTGCAACCTAGTTTACATTGTGTTCTTTCTAAAATAACACAAAAAGAAAAACAAGCTTTGTGAATCAATTTTGCAGCTGCTAAGGATTTAAGAGCCATATTATAAAGCCAGTTAAACAGTTCCTGGGGACATTTTAGGGAACGGGAAACTCTGAAATGAGACTTCTTGTTCTCTTTAAAAAATAACTCAGAATTGCATGCAGTCTGGACACAATCAGAGGCTTCTTTCCTGAAATTCAGCACCCCTTGATCTCATTCTGATCCACTGCATGTATTGGAATAGTTGTCTTGGGCAGAACTGACCAGTGACCGGCCAGACCTACTGTGGCTGGGCCAGTGATCTGGGGCCACTGTGACACGCAGGCTGACGTGCGTTCTCTGTGCTGAGCTGCCTTCCTGCATCTCTCTTTGATTCAGAGGAGAGGAAGGTGGAGGTCTGGTTATGGTTGTTCAACCAGGAGGCCAGAATGGCCATAGACGGCAGGGTTGGTGTCAGGAGTCTTCCCAGCCTGTGCTCAGCCTGCCAGGGGAACCCCTTCTCTCCCTGGGACCTTTTTCTGCAGATGCTTTCATTTTGTTGTCTCTCAACTTACTTGACAAGGCAGGGCACAGCCAGTGCACCCCTTTCAGGCCCTACAGGGGCCGGCCCAGCCTGGTGGCCACACGGATGGAGAAGAGGTAGGGCATCCAAGGCCTGGTCTGGGAAGAGGGCAGGGCCAGCCACAGAGAGCTCAGCGTCTTCAGCAGCGGGGACAGCAAAGCAACGACAACAAAGGGACAGCAAAGACAGAAGACAGCGTGTAGAACTTGAGCATGACAACAGGGACAAAACACTGGACACCTTTTGGTAAAGGCACACTGTGATATTTCTTTGAAAAAAGAATCCTTGTAATCCCAGCACTTTGGGAGGTGAAGGCGAGAGGATTGCCTGAGCTCAGGGGTTCAAGACCAGCCTGGGCAACTTGGCGAGACCTCGTCTCTACAATAAATAAAAAATTAGGCCGGGCTCGGTAGCTCAGCCTGTAATCCCGCACCTTGGGAGGCCGAGGTGAGTGAATTGCCTGAGCCCGTGGGTTCGAGACCCGCCTGGGCAACTTAGCGAGACCTCATCTCTACAATAAATAAAAAATCAGCCAGGCGTGGTAGCACGTGCCTGTAGTTCCAGCTACTTGGAAGGCTGAGGAGGAAGGATCGCCAGAGCCCAGCAGGTTGAGGCTGCAGTGGCCAGGAGCGGCCACTGCACTCCAGTCTGGGTGACAGAGTGAGACTCTAACTCAAAATAAATAAATAAATAAAAATTAAAATTAAAAATTAGCTGGGCGTGGTGGTGCACGACTGTGGTTCCAGCTACTTGGACGACTGAAGTGGAAGGGTTGCCTGAGCCTAGCAGATCAAGGGTGCAGTGGCCATAGTGTGCCACCATACTTAAACCAGGGTGACAGAGTGAGACCCCTACTCAAAAAAAAAAAAGAATCCTGCTGGGCATGATAGTTCACATCTGTAATCCCAGCAGTTTGGGAGGCTGAGGTGAGAGGATTGCCTGAACCCTGGGGTTTGAGACCAGCATGGACAACTTGGTGAGACCTTGATTCTACAGTAAATCAAAAAATTATCCAGGCATGTTGGTGCACGCCTGTAGTTCCAGTTTCTTGGAAGGCTGAGCTGGAAGGATCACCTGAGCCCAGCAGGTCGAGGCTGCCATGACCATGAGCGTGTCACTATACTCCAGCCTGGGTGATGGAGTGAGACTCAGACTCAAAAAAGAAAAGAAAAGAAAAAAGAATCCTGTGTGCTTTAGGTGGTGCCTCTGGCTCGCTGGCCTATACATCCTGATTTGGCACTTCTAGGTCAGGAATCCCGGAGTCCACTACAGCCCCAACTGTCCTCCGAGTCCCAGGCCCTCCCGACTTGGTGAGTGCCTGGTTTACACAGTATCTGCTCTGGCCGCCCAGGTCTTGGCTGGGCTCCTGTTCTACTTCTGCCCCTTAATAGCCACCTGTGTGCCCTTGGGTGTGGCTAAGCTCTTAAACCTCAGTTTCCTCCTGGCACAGCTCCTGGCTGGTTGTGAGGATTAAAAGAGACGGTGCGAGGAAGGCGCTATTGGCGCAGGGTAGTGCTCAGAATATGACGGCAGCTATTATTATCCCAGGCAGAAACTGTGCCTGAGAAGTGGGAAGACATTTGGTGAGAATTAACCTCTCCCAGCCCCAGAGTTTGAGTGAGAGTTAGCATCCGCGCACTTCAGGGTCTCTCCTACTTTTGACAATGGGTCCTTAACAGATATTTCTGGAATGAGGAATGAACGAACATGAAGCCTCAGTGCTCTTTGAATAGTTGGTTTAGCTTTGGGATTAAGGGGCCGTCACGTCCTTGTGGCCCTCAACATCAGGGTGGGCAGATGTTCCCTGTCAAGGGCCAGAGAGTAGACACTGCGACTCCCCAGCCCTGCTGTTGCACGCAGAGGCCACCAGAGATAGCACAGAGAAGAATGCTGTGGCTGTGTCCCAATTCAGCTTCACCTACAGACACTGGCGTTTGGATTTCATGATCATTTCCATGCATCAGGGGATAGTCTTTTTTCGACCTTTTTTCCAACCATTTAAAAAATGTGAGGCCAGGTGCGGTGGCTCATGCTTGCAATCCCAGCACTTTGGGAGGCTGAGGCAGGAGGATCACTTGAGGACAGGAGTTTGAGAACAGCCTGGGCAACTTAGCGAGACGAGACCTCTTCTCCACCAAAAAAATCAAAAGTTAGCCAGATGTGGTGCCACGCGCCTGTAGTCCCAGCTGCTTGAGAGGCTGAGGTAGACGGATCACCTAAGCACAGTTGCAGTGAGCCGTGATCATGCCACTGCACTCTAGCCTGGGTGACAGAGTGAGACCCTGACTTAAAAAAAAAAAAAAGAGCTGGGCTCGGTGGCTCAGCCTGTAATCCCGCACTTTAGGAGGCTGAGG